TGTTAAAAAGAAACGTTTCGCCCCTCATCCAAGGGGCTTCGTCAGTCTGAGGCCTAGCCATCTGGTATTACCCAGAAGCCACCCTGACTCTTGTGTTGACTCTTGACATGATTCAACCTTTTTTGTTGTTATATACCTGGATGACTGAGAAAACAAACTTTGTGTTTCTAACCCTATGAGATGCATCAGCTCTGTAACAGCTGTCACCCCTGTGTTCTGTTAACTGGCAAAACCAGCCACTAGACATAGCAAGACAGGTGAGGGTTGTGTACAACATACCGGAATGGTCAAGGCCCAGGTTAACAACGACCGCCACTAGTCTTGTTGTCAAACAGGGTGCCGACGGAAACTGTGCTTCTGTTACTCAAAGCCCAAAAGGAGGGATACATGTCAGGAGACAGTAGAGGAAAGTCAAGAATGTAGGACTGAGGGCAGCAACTCTAAATGTGGGGTCAACGACAAGCAAAGGTAGTGAGCTGGCTGACATGATGCAAAGAAGGAAGGTAGATGTTTTATGTATCCAAGTGGAAGGGCAGCAAGGCTCGCAGCATCGGAGCAGGGTTTAAACAGTTGGATATGATGTAGAGGAGAAAAAGAACTTCTGGAAGGATCTAGATGGGTGATAGAGAGTTTGTTTGGGGGGGTTGTGGGGCATAACTGATGGCTTGATTAAATTGTGTTAACTGCCTTAAATGTTATCCTTTGTAGCCAATCTATCATTAGTTTATTTATGAGAGCTTTTTGCCTGTGCAGGTAAATTATTTTCTGTTTTACTGTATTTGATTATTCCTACACCTCAACCAATATATGTTTTTTGCACTGTCAGCTCCAGGCACTGCCCATGACTTAATTAGCAATTTGTGTAATTAATCCCCTTTTACCTTAGTTTTTGGGGCTGGTTGTTACAGATGGACAACTGGATCATCAGCCGCGCACATCTGCTGACCGGTAATAACTATTCTAACTATAATATTATAAAACTTATAATAATCCACTGACTCTTGTTAATAAACAAGAAATCTTATATCTTCCTTAATAAACAAGAAATCTTATATCTTCCTTTCTTTGAAATAAGTTTTATAAACTATCATGTTCTAGAATGTGTTCTAGAATTGCGCTGCTCAAGGTGGCTGCATGTTGGAGCAGCTCTGTTACTTTCATTCTGAGATTTTGCTTTTGGAAACTTTAATTCCTCTTTTTCTGGATGTAAATCACATTTTTTGGATGATTGTTTCCTCTGGTATCGGATGCTGTGCACCTGGAAGGATTTTTACTGAAACGTTTTTGGTTTTGGACATTTGTTATGATGCATAACCATGGCAACAATGAAGTTTTTCTACAACCAACAGCAGCTTATTAACATCTCAAAAGCTCAAATAATATCTCAACTACAGCCCCAAATCTCAAATGAGTTGAAAGGATGTTCTGTGGACGCATTCTCATCTACCTGCCAGCTGTGCTCGAGTGCCTGACCACTGAGATCCTGGAATTGGCGGAAGGCACGGCTCGTGGCAGCGGAAGGACAGGGTCGTCCCTCTGCACCTACAGTTGGCTGTCCGCAGTGACGGGGAGCTTCGCAGACTGTTGGGAGGTGTGGCCATTGCTCTGGGAGGAGTTCTGCACAGCATTCGGGCGGTCCTACAGCCTGGGGGAACCGAGAGGCCAACCGAGTCTGGGTGGATGGATCGGACAGCATCGGCAGCCAGTTTCTTAGGATCCATTGTGGGATGGACCTTAACAAAAGATCCTTCCTGTCTACAGCCATCAGCATCTATAACATCTCTTAATGAAATGAGGATAATGAGTTACAACAACAAATAATTTCCCATTGGGATTAATAAAGTATTTTTGAATTTGAATTTGAATTGAATGTTAAACTGATTTGTTCACAAAAGCAGTAAAAGCTTAAATGAAAAAAAATCTGTTTTTTGGGGGGGGTTGGGCCTCTAATTACAGTTAATTGGTCGGTTTGGAGCTGGGCTCGGAAAAAATGATACGGGTTCGGGTCAGATTTTTTAGGCCCGAATGCAACTCTATAGCTGCCCCACAGCTGGTAGGATGTTAGAAATTCAGCTGCCAAGAAAAAGACAGAGGAGATATACAGATGAAGTTAGAGAGGACATGGAGGGAGTTGGAGTGAGGACAGAGGACATGGAGGGAGATGGAGGATGATGACTTGCTGTAGAGATCCCTGAAGAGGGAACAGCTGAAAGAAGACTGTCGGGGAATGTTTGGTCAGAGGTTATGGATGTTTTTAATAAAAACATTCTTCCCTTCTGCCTTGAGAACAAAAAGACCAAAACTATCCGAAACCATCTCCCACGACAATATTTTCTTTGCCCATGAACCATATGTTTGGGTATACAGAGGGTGCTGTGTAAGAAGGCTGCAGCTGGCTTCAAGGACACTTTCTGAATTCTGGGAACTGGGCTAAGCTGAAAAAAGTAAGAAAGACAGCAGATAACTCAGTTTGTAGCATTTTTTCTGTGACTGGTTTTTATGCATATACATCTACAAACCGGATTCCAAAAAAGTTGGGACACTAAACAAATTGTGAATAAAAACTGAATGCAATGATGTGGAGATGGGAAATGTCAATATTTTATTTGTAATATAACATAGATGACAGATCAAAAGTTTAATCTGAGTAAATGTAACATTTTAAAGGAAAAATATGTTGATTCAAAATTTCACAGTGTCAACAAATCCCCAGAAAGTTGGGACAAGTCGCAATAAGTGGCTAGAAAAAGGAAATTGAGCATATAACAAACAGTTGGAAGACCAATTAACACTAATTAGGTCAATTGACAACAAGATTGGGTATAAAAAGAGCTTGTCAGAGTGTCAGTGTCTCTCAGAAGCCAAGATGGTAAGAGGATCACCAATTCCACCATTGTTGCACAGAAAGATAGTGCAGCAATACCAGAATGGTGTTACCCAGCGTAAAAAAGCAAAGACTTTTAAGTTATCATCATCTACCGTGCATACCATCATCAAAAGATTCAGAGAATCTGGAACAATTGCTGTGCTTAAGGGTCAAGGCCGTAAAACTCTACTGGATGCTCTTGATCTCCGGGCCCTTAAACGTCACTGCACCTCAAACAGGAATGCCACTGTCAAGGAAATAACAGAATGGGCTCAGGAATACTTCCAGAAAGCATTGTCAGTGAACACAATCCACCGTGCCATCTGCCGTTGCCAGCTGAAACTCTACAGTGCAAAGAGGAAGCAAGCTCCACAAGCTCAGACGTTTGCACTGGGCCAGGGGTCATTTAAAATGGAGTGTGGCAAAATGGAAGACTGTTCTGTGGTCAGATGAGTCACCATTTCAAGTTCTTTATGGAACACTGGGACGCCATGTCATCCGGACCAGAGAGGACAAGGATAGCCTAAGTTGTTATCAACGCTCTGTTCAGAAGCCTGCATCACTGATGGTATGGGGTTGCATGAGCGCTTGTGGCATGGGCAGCTTGTATGTCTGGAAAGGCACCATTAATGCAGAGAACTATGTTCAGGTTCTAGAACAACATATGCTCCCATCTAGACATCATCTCTTTCAGGGAAGACCCTGCATTTTTCAACACAATAATGCCAGACCACATTCTGCAACAATCACAACATCATGGCTACGTAGGAGAAGGATCCGGGTACTGAAATGGCCAGCCTGCAGTCCAGATCTTTCACCTATAGAGAACATTTGATGCATCATAAAGAGGAAGGTGCGACAAAGAAGGCCCAAGACGATTGAACAGTTAGAGGCCTGTATTAGACATGAATGGGAGAGCATTCATATTTCTAAATTTGAGAAACTGGTCTCCTCTGTCCCCAGACGTCTGTTGAGTGTTGTAAGAAGAAGGGGGGATGTCACACAGTGGTAAAAATGGACTTGTCCCAACTTTTTGGGGATTTGTTGATGCCATGAAATTTGGAAACAACAGATTTTTCCCTTAAAATGATACATTCTCTCAGTTTAAACTTTTGATCTGTGATTTGTGTTCTATTCTGAATAAGATATTAGATGTTGGCACCTCCACATCATTGCATTCAGTTTTTATTCATAATTTGTTTAGTGTCCCGACTTTTTTGGAATCCGGTTTGTATGTATGTGATATATGTATATTTGTGTAAACTCTTCTGAAATCTGACATTGAGTTTAATTCAATTCAGTTTATTTATATAGCACCAAGTCACAACAGAAGTCATCTCAGGGCACTGAACAGAATCATTCATATGAAAAATAAAGTTAACAGCAACATTTATATATAAAATCTTAAGTCTTAAGTCCAGTCTTAAAACTGGACAATGTGTCAGCCTTACAGACAGAAACTGGAAGTTGGTTCCACAAGAGAGGAGCCTGATAACTGAAAGATCTTCCTCCCATTCTGCTTTTGGAAACTCTAGGGACCACGAGTAAACATGCAGTCTGAAAGCAAAGTTCTCTGTTAGGAAAATATGGAACAATAAGATCTTGAAAATAAGATGGAGCTAGGTTGTTGAGAGATTTGTAGGTTAGAAGTAGGATTTTGAATTCAATTCTGGACTTGACTTGGAGCCAACAAAGATGTTCTGTTAAATAGAAGGCACACACCATTGGATTAAATGGAAAAAAAACACAGAGGTGAAACGCACAGCCTTTTCCACACCAACATGACTTATTCATTCGTTGATTGAGGCCTTTCTGCTAACATTTTTGTGTGTGAATGTAAATGGGGGAGTGGTGGCGCAAAGGTTAGAGAAGGTGGGCCTGTGATCGGAAGATCGTCGGTTCAAGCCCCGGTACCAACAACATAAAAAATGTGGGTGGGGTAGGTGAAGCACCCACACCTGCCCCCACCCTCATTCGCCCCACTCTGGGCCCATGAGCAAGGTCCTTAACCCCCATCTGCTCCATAAACAGGTCTCTCTTGAAAATGAGTTATCGTGGCTCAATGAGACTAACCTGGATAAATAAAGTCTAAATGAAAAATGAAAAAAATGTATGCGCTTGTGTTCGAAAATACCTTTAAGAGTCTCGTCCACCACCTCCACCACTCGGTCAATCTGTTGGACCTGAAATGCAGATAGGCACAAAGGAAAGGCTTTATTGATGCTGACAAAGGCAGTGTGCAGACAGACAACATGTAAACATACAGACAGACAGCATGTAAACATGCAGACAGACAGCACGTAAACATACAGACAACATGTAAACATGCAGACAGACAGCATGTAAACATGCAGACAGACGGTGTGTAAGAAGTAGGGAGACTAAAAAGTGCAAAACGCTACAATCACAGCAGCTCTCACCACTCAGGGTGAAGTCAGATGGATTTCCTAAATGTCATGGAGTGTGTGTGTGCATGTGAAAACACTGTCTGGTGTGTATCGAGCAGCGTGTGGAGATGGAAACTGGGCCTTACAGGGATAATTGAAGTGAAGTAGTGATGCATTAGTCAGTATCATACTTGCAGCAGACAAGTCAGAGTGATTTCAGGGAGAAGGTCTGATGGAAGAATCGAGCTAACGGCTAATTAGAAAACGACCCATAGAGGACCAATGTTCTGCCATCTTTAAAATAATTAATAACTAACTCCTAACAGAGCATTTTTGGGGCTTATTAGGGTCAGTTTTTTAATACGAATGTAAACTTCCCTCTGTCTACACATCTCAGGGTCTCTCAGGAAAGACTCAGAAACATAATTTATAACGGATTAACTTTACTTGTTTTAAAATGTGTTGGATTTAATTTGTATGTTGTTCAATGTCTTCCTTTGCCGTCTACCTTTTGAATAATTGCATTTGTATTCACATTTAAAATTGTCTTTGTTTTTTTGTTTTTAATGCAACGCTGACATAAATTGGTTTTAGTTTGGAATTATGCAGCTGGACAAGAACTCCCTGGAAGGAAGGTGATGTAAATCACCTGTTTTACAAAATAATTTTTTTTTAAAAATCCACTTTTAAAACCAGAACTGTCCCTTTAATGCTGCAGAACACAAAACAAAGTAAAAGGAGAATAATGTAGGTCTAAAATCTGTAAAGTGAACAGTTTACTTCTGTTGTTTTTGGACAGTTGTGAGGACTTAAAGCTCAACACACAATAAAAATAATAAACTCCACTTTGTGTAGTTTCAATACAATCAGCCTAATACAACGTTGCACTAATCTAAAAAGAAGGTAGAACATTTTAAAGTGATTTTGTCCACCTACCATTCCAGAATCACTTTGAAAAGAACAAAATAATAGTATAAGTATAAGTCTTATTATAATTTGCCTTGACATCATTTTCTCTTCATTCCTCACAGCATCCCTCCATCATCTGATTCTCTTGTTTCTCTGCACTCTGGCCCTTATTGTTGCCTCTCTGAGCCTCCAGGTCCATTACCCAACAAGCCTTTGGGTTTTTTCTATAAACACTCCTCACATGGATGCACACTGTGCTTCGCAGGCAGCAGCTGCATGCCTCTGACATGCTGATGTAAAACCTATTTCCTTGTAATGGCCAAGCAATCTGGATCCATTCAGAGCAGCAGCAGGTGTCCCTTCTTACAGTACAGAGTTGGTAATACCAACATTCTGCAAACTAATTCAGAGCAACTCTGGGTCGTGTTCATCGAAGTCAAAAAAAAAAAAAAACGTGTGCAGCAAACAAACCAACTTCCACAGATAAGAGGATAAAACACTCCATCAGGAAAAAGGACACTGGAATGGTGTTTTACACTTAATTTATGTAGTGTCTTTCAGAACTATTTTATAAAATATTAGGAGCCAAGAAGATTATTGACCAGTTGGACGACCTGCAACAAGCACACCCAGGCTGCCTCAGCAAGAAGCCTTTCAAATGAGAAATGACTGAAAACAAAGACTGTGAAGTTTTGGTGGTTGATAAAAGAACAGTTCAGAGCTGGAACTTCCTCACAACAACTTCCCTCTGAACCACAGCGAGCTTTGACTCAGACTGCAGCGTCTGACAGGGAAGCAGATATCTGCAAGGTGTTGATGACACCGAGGTCCAAACAACGACCTCAACACGTAAACTATTTGTCTCGTTGCAGCCGTGGTCTGATGAGGCAGCAGCGTCAGTGAGAGATGACAGCAGGCTCAACTACTCCTCCTGAAAACCCACCAGACTAGATTTAGACATGTGAATGGACTAAATTGTAAATGGACTGTACTTATAGAGCAACTTTCTATCTTATTGAGATACTCAAAGCTCTTTACACTACAATCTGTGTCCTCATTTACCCATTCATACAGCACTCTACTAGATCTCTACAAAGCTAATTGAACAAATCATTCTAAAGAGACTAATCAGAGCTTTATCACATTCAAACACCGATGGGACACACATCAGAGGCTATGAGGGGTTCAGTGTCTTGCCCAGGGACAATTCGGCATGTGACTGCTGGTGGAGTCAAACCCTCAACTCTTGCATTGGAGGACGACTGCTCTAACCACTCAGCCACAGCCGCCGAGGCACAACGGTTTTATGTGATGGTTTAAAGTGTAAATATCCCAAACGATTAACTATACTCCGTGTTCTATCACCCAGACGCTCCTGTTACAATAAAATGTACTTTTTTTTGCTTTCCATTTATTAAACTCTTACTTTACAGTTGGCTACTCTGAAAAAAAAAAGTATAATTTTAAGTAATTAGGCTTAGATTTGAAAACAAATCAGAATTTTCACTAAAATCATTCAAACTTTATCTTGAGGACACAAACCCAGAATGATCCTGTCTGCCTGCCTGCCTGCCTGTCTGTCTGTCTGCCTGCCTGCCTGCCTGCCTGTCTGTCTGTGTGTGCGTGCATGTGCGTGTGTGTAACAGTGCAGCCTGTGTACCTTACACAAAGTCTCTGATCATTCATTTCATCAGAGAAAACAACAACATGAGCACAAAGGCCAATTAAAGAGAATGGATTCAAAGAGAAAACCCTTTTTATGACAACATCTCTTATCGAGCCGTTAGTGGAATCAATAATCACAAACCCTGAACTTATTTGCATCTGATTTGGATAAGCCACCAACTGCCACGCTCATTATGGAGCTCCTACAGAAACACAAGCAGAGTGTGTGTCTCACACAGCACTCTGTGTGTTTTCTTGTATCAATGTGTAATCCAGGTCATTTGTGACAGCACAAACAAATGTGCGCCTCCCAGTTTTTATAGTTCAGCCCGAACACTGTCACAGACTTCATCTGATTATCTCACCGGATGTTTCGGTGGATCTGCAGGACTTTAGGTAAAGGAAGTGTAACAAACCATGCGTTTACTTGGACAGATTGGTCAACAATAGAGACAATATAAACTTGGCAGTATCCCATCTACAGCAAGTCATTTGTCCATGTGAGCGTCTTGTAAAACTTAGTTGACAATCTCCATGATCGTGGCACTGCTTGTAGGCCTCATATTTGTACTTTTCCTGCTGGAAGTGACCAGAGAGCCCTGTCTAAAGAGCCACGCCCTGTGTTGAGGTTTATAAATCAGTGTTTCCATGAACCACTATGATTAGTTCTTGTAAGATGGAAGAAATCCTTTTTGGTCCTGGCCCTACTCCGACTAGCCTTTAAGTTCAAGTTCAAGGTTCTTTATTGTCATTCATTGGTGGAAGGAAATTACATATCCAAGGTCCCAGTTACACCCAACAACAGCAAAAATATAAAGTTTAAAAAGAAACATTAAATAAAGATTTAAGATATATACGAAGATATATGATAAACACCAATAATGCAAAACAATATGGCGTCACAACATCAGCATGAACATTTAACTCAACAACAACAAACTCTGTTCCTCAAAGAGCTATATCTACAGCACATAAGATAATGAAAAGTGATTGTCTTTCAACAGAACCCTTCTTGAAAATATATGTAATGTTGCTTTCAGGTCTCTGCCTTGCTGCCAGCCTGGTTCATCGCTCACAGAAAATATTTAGATTAGTTTCTGTGATCTGACAGTTCTCTGTATTCACCTTTTCAGTGTTTCACCTAGGTCACTTGCCTTGGCAGGGTGCTCACCTCTTTTCTTGTGTGTGTGTGTGTGTGTGGGGGGGGGGGTCTAGCTATTTAGCTAGTGCATCCGTATTGCATGCAGCTAGCATAGCGCTACGTCAGTGCCGACATTTGTCTTAGGCAGTGCGCTCGGTTCTGTTGACAGGGAGAAGCGCCCTCCTTGCATAACGGTAAGGAAAACACTGCTTTTACACATATCAGGTCAGGACTAGTGGTGTTTAAGTATCACTCTGTTGTACAGGTCCTTCTCAAAAAAATAGCATATTGTGATAAAGGTCATTATTTTCCATAATGTAATGATAAAAATGAAACTTTCATATATTTCAGATTCATTGCACACCAACTGAAATATTTCACTTCTTGGTCTGCTGCCTTCATACATCTCCTCCTACATGTCTCTGCGTGAGTGCAGCTACGGAGTGCGCTCTCAGGACATTATTACCTGCAGTGCTCCCTCAGTGAGGACTGAACTAGGCAAAAGGGCCTTCTCCTACTCCGCTCCTGTTTCCTGGAATATCTTACAAAAAGATTTGAAGCTCTCGACCTTGACCTCTCTAAGTGGCTTTAAGAATCTGTTGGGACTCCTGGCGGGGTCCAATGCAGACATGTTCCTGTTTTTAGTTTTATACATTTGTCTTGGAATCTAGCTGTTTTTTTGTTTTGTTACCTTTTTCCTTTTAGCCATCCTATTTGTTAAAAAAAAAAAAAAAACTGTAGTATGAGTTTTTATAACTGCTTATTGTTGTTGCTGTTGTCCATTGTTGTCATCTTTCTTTGTTGAAATCAGGTCTCTCTTGTAAATGAGTCCTCGAGGCTCAATGGGATTTACCTGTATAAATAAAGGTTGATTGATTGATTTCAGGTCTTTAATTGTTTTAATACTGATGATTATGGCATACAGCTCATGAAAACCCAAAATGCCTGTCCCAAAAAATTAGCATATCATGAAAAGGTTCTCTAAACAAGCTATTAACCTAACCATCTGAATCAACGACGTAACTCTAAACACCTGCAAAAGATTCCTGAGGCTTTTAAAAACTCCCTGCCTTGTTCATTACTCAAAACTGCAATCATGGGTAAGACTGCCGACCTGACTGCTGTCCAGAAGGCCATCATTGACACCCTCAAGCAAGAGGGTCAGACACAGAAAGAAACTGCTGAACGAACAGGCTGTTCCCAGAGTGCTGTATCAAGGCACCTCAGTGGGAAGTCTGTGGGAAGGGAAAAGTGTGGCAGAAAACGCTGCACAACAAGAAGAGGTGACCGGATCCTGAGGAGGATTGTGGAGAAGGGCCGATTCCAGACCTTGGGGGACCTGCGGAAGCAGTGCACTGAGTCTGGAGTAGAAACATCCAGAGCCACCGTGCACAGGCGCGTGCAGGAAATGGGCTACAGGTACCGCATTCCCCAGGTCAAGCCACTTTTGAACAAGAGACTGCATCAGAAGCATCTCGCCTGGGACTGCTGCTGAGTGGTCCAAAGTTATGTTCTCTGATTACATTAAATTTTGCATTTCCTTTGGAAATCAAGGTCCCAGAGTCTGGAGGAAGAGAGGAGACACAGAATTCACATTGCTTGAGGTCCAGTGTCAAGTTTCCACAGTCACTGGGGTGTCATGTCATCTGCTGGTGTTGGTCCACTGTGTTTTATCAAGGGCAGGGTCAATGCAGCTAGCTATCAGGAGATTTTGGAGCACTTCATGCTTCCATCTGCTGAAAAGCTTTATGGAGATGAAGATTTCATTTTTTCAGCACGACCTGGCACCTGCTCACAGTGCCAAAACCACTGGTAAATGGTTTACTGACCATGGTATTACTGTGCTCAATTGGCCTGCCAACTCTCCTGACCTGAACCCCATAGAGAACCTGTGGGATATTGTGAAGAGAAAGTTGAGAGACGCAAGACCCAACACTCTGGATGAGCTTAAGGCCGCTATCGAAGCATCCTGGGCCTCCATAACAACTCAGCAGTGCCACAGGCTGACTGCCTCCATGCCACGCCGCATTGAAGCAGTCATTCATGCAAAAGGATTCCCGCCCAAGTATTGAGTGCATAACTGAACATGATTATTTGAAGGTTGGTGTTTTTTGTATTAAAAACACTTGTCTTTCATTGGTGGGATGAAATATGCTAATTTTTTGGGACAGGCATTTTGGGTTTTCATGAGCTGTATGCCATAATCATCAGTATTAAAACAATTAAAGACCTGAAATATTTCAGTTGGTGTGCAATGAATCTGAAATATATGAAAGTTTCATTTTTATCATTACATTATGGAAAATAATGACCTTTATCACAATATGCTAATTTTTTGAGAAGGACCTGTACATACTCTTAGATAAATATTTTACCAATTTAATTTTCATGTATGTGATTTGATGTGTTTCTGTTCAGTGCCCTGAGATAACTTCTGCTGTGACTTGGTGCTATATAAATAAACTTAATAGAATTGTAGAGTTTTAGAACACCACATTCGGGACTTCCTGCGAGAACATCACCTTTAGCTTCATTAACTTCTTTGTCCACCACCGACCTCTAGAGTCTGCACACACTCTCACCTTCTCTCATCACCCACTACAGAGGCCCGAGCATGTGTATTGTATATATACAGCAGTATATATCGTACAAAAGCTTACATGGTACCAAAAATCTTGATGTAGTTCGGTACCCGAACATGCAGAATAAAGACATACCCCAATGATGCTGATACTTCTGAGGTAGTCCATCCGGGGCTGAGCTTGAGGAACACAACCTGCTACCACCACCTTCTTCTGCTGCTCCTGAGCTTTTCTGCAGAAGAAATTAGACCAAAATCATAAATGAGAATATCATTAACTCTGACAGTCTGTCTACTTTAGCTTTTTATTAAATACAAATGAAAAAAAAATACTTTGCAAGAAATACTGTTAGTTCAACATATTTCATTCATTCAGTCAACCTTTATTTAGACAGGTAAATCCCATTGAGCCTCGAGGACTCATTTACAAGAGAGACCTGATTTCAACAAAGAAAGATGACAACAATGGACAACAACGACAACAATAGACAGTTATAAAAAGGCATACAGATTTATTTTTTGTTTTTGTTTACAAATAAGATGACCAAAAAAGTAACAAAAACAGCTAGATAAGGCAAATGTAGAAAACTAAAAACAGGAACAAGTCTGCACTGGTCCTTGCCAGGAGTCCATTAGATGTCCAACATTAGATGTTGCTCAAGGACCTGCTTTCAATAACAGTGATTATGTTGTTCTAAACTATTAATTCATAAAATATAAAGTATTTATTGATAAGTATTAACGTCTTAGTATGTTTGGGTAATAATATGGTGTTTAAAGGTATATATGTGCATACTCATCCACACATACACACAATTAGTAACTTTCTGCTTCCAGCAGCAGATAAAAACCACCAGAAAATGACGTACAGCACTGAGTCACAAATGTTGAGTGTTCAATTTTGAAACACAAACTATAAAAACACTACAACTGAAAAAAAAACAAAAAAAAAAAACGCTACAATCTAATCCAACTGTGATTTTGTCACAAAGTGACAATGGGACTGTACAACACAGGCGAAAAACGACTTCAAGCCTGTTAACAGATTGACGGAGACTAAAAGTAGTGAACAGTTTGTCAAACCAGATATTAGAATGATGAAGTGTCATCCATCTTATTTGTTCTTATTGAAATGATATGTGGTGTAAACAGTCAGAGTAGGAAACCATAAGGGAAAATGTGTGTGCATGTGATCTGTGCACGTCTCCATGTCACCTCCAGTTAGTGGCAGTGAGACGTGAGACACGAGGTCTGTCTGACAACAGATTCTGGAGGAGCTGCCCAGACTCTGCCATAAATCTTTAATAATAAAGCCTTCTGACAGCTGGGGGAGGGGGCGGGGGGCGAGGAGCATCCATGGAGCTGGATGCAAACTGTCAGATGTGTTTTAATTCACCGTTTGTATTCTTCAACAAAACAAAGAGGTAGAGATGTAGAGATGGGGGGGCTCAATTCAAAGCCAGCCTACTCTGCTCTGTCACATGAATGGAAAGCAGAGGAACACATGACAGCTGAAGTGAAGCCAGGAATAAACGTGTCTGTTTGCTCCAGTCGTGGTTATTTTAGAATCAAAAAACGAACTAATGTTCAAATTTGTGTTTTCACAACGGAGGACAAGCTCAAAATTGTTGACACTCCATGTGATGGGTCTTCGGGTTTTTCTAGAAACCTCTGAACATGTTACAGGAGAGCTGACCAGTAGAACACAGACCTGCACAATGATCTAAAAGCATGGGATTACAGTTTCCAGAAATGAGTAAATAAATAAAAATGAGAAACTGGACTTGTGAAATGTTGGTGAAGATCCAACAAAGTGAAGTCAGGTCCTCTGGACGGTTTCTTTGTGTTGAATCGTTTCCAGGAACCATCTTGTCACCATCAAACTGGTTGGCCCACTATGTGAGTAATGTAATGGGACTGAGTTTGTTGTGGCTCCTCGAACTGATCAAATGTTTTGGATGAAAAACAAAACATTTCAACACAAAGAAACCGTCTAGAGGGCCTGACTTAACTTTGTTGGATTTTTTTACCTGGATTATTGAGCATGAACTTTGATGTCGGTGAAGATGTTTGGCTTTACTTTGGGGGACGTTTCTCATTTTAAACTGCAGAGTGGAGAGCAGGAGATGTTTTGTTCAGCAGACTACATTAACAAGCAGATGAATGTCCCTCAGGACTGGACATCCATGGGAGTTAGGCTTGGAGGGAAATGCTCGGGTGTCAAGCTTAAGAAGCTTTATGTCCAGTCAGTAACTGGCCATGTGTAATCTGAGTGATGTACAGCTGTTTTCAGGCAGAATCAAAATGGTACTTTGATTTGGGGCGTCTGATTCTTCTTCTTCAGAAACTTTTTTTCTTTAAATTTAGATCTCAGAGTGGAGGTTTGGCAAAACTTGTGACCTGAATTCAGAGGTGTTTGCACATGCACACTACAGCTGCAGTCAGTCGTTCTTCAGCCACGCACAGCTCAACAGTGATCAGCACCGATGGTGGATAGCAGAGTGCTGTCGGTGCTGCTCACTATTTATCAGAACTTCATTCAAACGTTTGTTTATTCGTGTTTTTGGATATTAATGTTCTCCGATGCACGTGTTTGAAATACAGAAATCACAGCACCACCTAACGGCTACTCACTGGAATTATAGCAGGTTTCAAGTCTAAACAGAGTGATAGCAGCGGGACATTGTTATCGAGTGAAGTTTTTATGCTCAACATCAGGAAATCTAGTTTGCAGGAGATCATTTATGTGTAAACTAGAATTGAAGCTTGGAGCTCCATGCATTGTTTACATGTGGAAAACCTTCCAGAAGTTAGTCTCACTGATTAATGGTTTTCTTAAGGCTACACAGCTGTTCAGTCCCAATTCCTTGAGTTCCCTTCACATTGTGCGTGTGGACATGCTCTTACTGTCACTATTAAACACAGCCCTGAGTTCTACTGTTGTTTTCCTTCAATTTGATTTCACCAAACATTTAAGTGATCTCCGATCACGATCATTCAGGATTTTTTTCAGGCCACATTTCTTCCTCGAAGACGATGGGTCCCCACTATCCTTCCAGTTTTTAATAATGCGTTGGACAGTTCTTAACCTAATTTTTGTAGTTTCTACAATCTCCTTAGATGTTTTCGTTGCTTGATGCCAATGATTTGACCCTTCTCAAACAGACTGACATCTTTTCCACGACCACGCGATGTGACTTTCCACATGGTTGTTTAAGAAATGAGAAACAACTCATTGCACCAGTTGGGGTTAAATAACTTGTTGCCAGCTGAAAGATAATCGCCCATGCAGTAATTATCCAATAGGAGGCTCATACATATATTTATTGTACAGTACTTTAAAAATGTACTTGGGTACTCACCAGTGAAGATACTACAAATTGAAAGATTAGTTCAGCTTCAGGATTATTTGTGGCTTTCCTGCCAGTTCTGTGATCTTATAGATAGATCATTACTTCTGACTTTGCGTTGCAAAACTATTTTTACCACATCAGTTTCTCCACTAGTGTTTGCTCCCTCCATTGCTGTTCTATGAAATTTGGCAGAAAGCAGTGGCTGGAAGCACTATTGGCTTCTGGGCCGTGTAGTTCTTTTGACTTGTGTTACAGTGAAGGCTTATTGAAAGAAAACTACAAAATGGTGGTACCTGTCCAAAGGTTTTTTTTTTTTTTTTTTTTTTTTTGTCATATTGGTTGGTTCCCGCTCCTGTCCGTTCCCTTTATCTTTTTATCCCATACCGTCCCAATCACGTAATATTAAAGTTAACAGTTGTGTGTCGTGTACAACCTTATGTTGAAAACCCGCGAAAGAGTGAGTCCGCGAATGTCGAACCACGAAGTATCGAGGGACTACTGTATTTATTAAATTATATAAAGGTCAAGATTATTAAACAACCTTGAACTAGGCTTGGATTGCTGCTAACGTATCTGTTAAAACTTCACGTTTTCCCCATAATAGTGTTGAGAAAATAAACCCACTTCAGTAGTACTGCACACACACACACAGACAGACCACGGCGGCAGCATGACTGACACTGCTCCGTGCCCAGTACATCCAGCGTGTCACTAATTTGTGTCTCGCTGCCGGCTCAGACACACAGAGCCACTGTCGCTGCCCAAGTGGGAACGGACCAATCACACTGCTCAGACTTCCTGGGTGGGATGAGATGAAATGGGATGCAGTTGCCGTGGTGATATTTTGAGTCTAACAGAGCACTTGCTGCCAGTGACCCAGAGCGGCGCAGATGCCCCCAGATTAAAGGGTGGGGGGGATTGTGTGTGTGGCCTGGACACAGCTCTCTGTCTGACTTGCTCTGGCTCCTCTGAGGCATTTCATGTGAACGTCTCTGCTGCTGCTCCTCAACGCCTTGAGACAGCCGATTAAAGCAGTGTCCGAACCAACACATGCCTTCGAGGAGTCCCGGATGATGACGGCAATAGTGTCTGAAGGTTTCTGCACAGATGTGTGACCTGCGTGCTCCGTACGGTAGGAGGTGCCGTGCTGTACATGTGGGTTTTTAACAGCTCAGTGAATGCAATGAAGAAGTCCAATTGGACCGGACTAAACGTCTAAATAAATTGATCAGGTTGACTTGGAGATCGTCGTGTGAGGAAGATGACAATACTTGACTGTAGGCCTCAGAGCACATGACCTACATAAGAGCCTCTCCATCGTTCTCACAACATGATGTGACGTGAACGAGCGCGCTCCTTCAAGGACTGGGCATCCGTCCACAGTAGCTGAAACCATCAGCTCTCACAGATGTCCCAGGTGTTTATATCAGCTTTATGAAACTGGATTTTATTTTCAAATGTAGTCTTTGAATCCTCATGTCAATTAAAGACAGAACGTTTTGTTCACAAATTACTTTGATTTCTCTTATGAACGAGTACACATTATGTTTATAGCTGTGAAAGTGTATATTCTGGTTTGTCCTGAAAAGCTACCAGCTGTATTCATGCATGTGCGCACGCAGTATGTGTCTTCTCATTGACACCCCCACTTCGGTGTCCTCAGCCCTCCACAGATGAGGCTTCAGCTTCATAGCAGGGGACAGGATGAGCTCATAGCATAGAGAGAGGAGCAGAGCCATATGCTCCTCAACTGATATGTCGCCTAAAGGACGAGGTCGTAACGATCAGGGCAGTGAGGAACTTCTACTTAATATCTTAAACTGATTTTAAACTATTTTGTCCACCCAAATCAGTTGTTACTGGTGTCCTATTTTATGCAC